GCCCATATGGTGACCACGGCCGCTGAATCCCTGTGTTTAAATGGGGGAGAAACTTCGGGTTTTAAAACATTTCAAAGTGGTTGAAAGGGTCCCACCAGATCCTGTCACAATTCCCCCCGAGCTTTGAAGGCCGGGGCCATTGTTCGCCGATTATAAATGATATTACTTTAAAGTTGATTTCCCACAATATTTAAAGGATGTAGCGGGAGTGTCGCTATTTATTTTTGGCGTAACTTTTCAAGGGAATTAGCATAAGTAGCCCATGCGTCCCTCATCCCGTCTTCTCCTTTATGCGACATCAAAACGCCTCGAAAAAATATGCTTTGAAAGGAGAGGGAGAGCTAATTTAGGGACAACGACTTCTCTGCCTCGACAGAACCGTCCGTTTCTTTCACCCAGGGGTGCCCGCAGAGCCCCGCAAAGCCGCCCGGACACGGGACACATCCTTGCGACCGCCCGAAAGGAGAGCACAATGAAACTTTCCCCCTGTTTAATGATAGAAATCGCATTAAAAGTGGTGGAAATACCCTAATTAAAAATGTACCGCTTAAATGATATGCCAAATGTTCAGCTGCAGAATAGCGTATTTAGCTAGTTAGTGAACTCGCTACTATTTCTTTTAAAATTACATGTTAAAATTTTAAAAGAAATCTTACTTTTCTCTGGTGCAACACATTACAAAGAATGGACAGTCCTTTTATCTAAATATAAAATTCCATTTTCAGCAATTATAGCCTGTTCTTGGTGATGATATAATTACAGCTGTGCTCAGTAATAGGTGTCAAGGCAATGCACACTCATACAATAGTTGAATAAAACTGCAGAACAATGCAGGCACTTCTAAATTCACAACCTTTAAAATGAAATTGACTGTGCAGAATTCAAATAAAAACTGGATAAATATTTTTTAAAAAAGATTACAAGCTTGGTTTGGTTTCTTAATAGCATTTTCTGCAAACCTATCAACATCTAATTGATTAGATAGGAATTACTGATTATAGATAATCTGAAATACTGAACATCACTATTTTAAATATAGCAATAGGTAAATAAATGCAGCAGACAGAGGAGACTGCCATGGCATTCAGCAGCGATTTGGGGAAAGAATCGCTTTCAGGGGAAAGTATTTTTATGCATGTTTTATTTCAGAGGAAAAACAAAATGAAATTAAGACCGGGCGATCGTAATTCCTCATCTCCAACGTTTAGGATAATGCTGGAAACTGAAATGTTTCCGTGGCACCCGGGTCGTTGGCGCGATGTTGCTTTGATACCTGAGCCATTTGTCAGGGAGGGTGTCAGCAAACATGGCCGAACTTGTTTCCAATCGCGTTATTTCTCTGATAGGCATCTTAGAACAAGGGTACCTGCGTTTCACTTTCCGACTCTCGGTTCTGCAGATGGCTGTCCGCAACAGGAGGGAGGAGGGGAAAACACTAACTCCATCAGCTCTAACGGAGAAGATTCAGACGAGGCCCAAATGAGACTCCAGCTGAAGAGAAAGCTGCAGAGAAATAGAACATCCTTTACCCAAGAGCAAATCGAAGCCCTTGAGAAGGGTGAGTGGCATTTTCCCGTGGCTGAAGCAGGAGAGAAAAGCAAAATGTGCCCTGGCTATAGAAAGAGCTGAGTGGCAGCATGGCATTCACGGGCCTTACATATATCTGTATATATTTTAAGTCCGTGGCTCCCTCCACGCTCTTTCATTCATTGAGCCCCAAATATTCACCAGCGGCTGCGATCTGCACTGAATAGCTGTTACAAGGTTTTTAAGGGGAAGGTACCCGGGGCACAGCTCATACTGAAACATGGGTGTTGCACCCCGGGCTCCTCTCATGGGGGATAAATCTCCTCCCGCTGACTGAGCCGCGTCCCCGGCCGGGCCGCGTTGCCGTGTGCCGGGAAGGCGAGGGCAGGCAGCTGGGGCTGGCAGCAGCTCTCCGTGCCTGCCCCCACTCCTGCTGCCCGTCCCCAGCGCTGCCACTGCCCGGGGCTGGGAGCAGGTGCCCTTTTCCCTGACCGGCCTGGGCGCACCTCGCCTCTGACCCGCTGCGGATCTTTGTTCTTATTTTCCACTGTTATTTAGCGACGTGCCATTTCACTTCTTGGTGACAGGGTCAGAGCTGCCTTGGGGACCCCCTCAGCAGAGGCAGAAGTCCTCACTGCTCCTTGAAAGATGCAGCGCTGCACCCAAGCCTGCCTATCCCCTTAGCAATATTCCCCCACAGGCAAGGCGTCCTGCTGCCTAACGCACACACACGGAGAAAGCTCAGTTTTGCCTTTACAGTGATGTTTCTTAAGAGCATTTAGAGCACAGGCAGTGCAGGAATGACTGACTTTACAGTCAGCCACATTAACTCTTTGCAACTAACATGACAATACTTCCTTCTGCAGAATTTGAGAGGACTCACTATCCCGATGTGTTTGCAAGGGAGAGACTAGCTGCTAAAATAGACCTGCCTGAAGCGAGGATACAGGTACTGAGTTGCTGTGCAGTTACTACTATTGTTATTTTCACTCTTACTATTCTAATTTTGTTATTCCTGGCTTCTCAAAGCACAGGGCAGCCCCTATTTATGACTGGGTATTTGTCCATCTCCCCCTTCAAGAAAATAACTGCAGCTGGGGTTTGCTTGCGCACGCTGCTTTGCTACGCTGCAAGCCAGCTTTCCATCAGCGTGGCCCTGAGTTACGTGGGGGAGGTCCTTGTAAGCTCATTCACGTGTCTCAAATGCTGTTTTCAGGTGTGGTTTTCTAACAGAAGGGCCAAGTGGAGAAGGGAAGAGAAGCTGAGGAACCAGCGAAGACAAGCCAGCAACACTCCCAGCCACATTCCCATCAGTAGTAGTTTCAGCACAAGCGTTTACCAGCCGATCCCGCAACCGACCACCCCCGGTAATGCCCCCAACCCGCTCACGTTCCTCGAGCCTCTTGGGAAAATGAGACTCTCAGACTGTATCACCGATTGTAATTGCGGTTAAACTAATGCGTTCATCTATTTGTCTATTCTATTATAGTTTCCTCTTTCACATCAGGTTCCATGTTGGGCAGAACGGACACGGCGCTCACAAACACGTACAGCGCGCTGCCGCCCATGCCTAGCTTCACCATGGCCAACAACCTGCCTATGCAAGTAAGTCTGGTGCTGCCGCCGCGGCACAACGCTCCCTCGGGACTCGGAGGCCCCGGGGGCGGGTGGGGGCCCCACCTCTGCAGGATGGGGGGTTATGGACCCAAACCATGCTGCAGGGAAACCAGCACCAAAGGCTTCCCCAGCATCTGAAAATACACCCTACTGGGGAGGGTCGCAAGAGAAAGGGCACTGTAAGGTGCGCAACAAGCGCTTTTCCTGAACTTTAAAAGAGAAAGGTCCTCAGATTTACAAGGCAACAAATGTGGGATGAAAAAACCCTTTTTGGGGAAAACCAAACCAAAATAAAACAAAAAAACCCCAACAAAACCCGCGGTTAACCTATGGAACTCACTGGTGCAGTATTGTGGAAATTGCTGCCTGAATAAGCTGCTGGAGGGATCCGACCTTCTCGGCGTAGGTACTGTGGCGGCGGCACATTAGGAACACCTGAGAGAGGGAAGGATGTGATTAGCATCAGTGGTTATGCCAGCTAAGCCAGAATTGCAAGAGCTGTCAATCCTCATGCCTGAAAGCATTAGCTGATCACCAGCTGGGTTAGGAAGAAATCTATTCCTTTGGGGTCTGTTTCTATAGACCTTTCAGATGCAAAATTCCTCCTTTTTTAATGGTGGGGTTGGCCTAGGAAGGTGCTGGCCAATTACGGGAGTTTTACAGCTTTGTCTGAGGCACACAGCATTGACCACTGCTGGAGACAGGCGAGCAGATTAGAGAGCCTGACTCCTTCGCTGCGGCAATTACTATGTTACTAATTGCTGAACCAAAATTAACCAAATAAAGTTAGAGTCTCGCAAGTCTGCGGAAAGAAATGACGTTGGCTAGGTTGCTATTTCGTGACGTTGGAGGCCGGTGGCGCCGTTCCCGGCAGCGAGCTGAGAGCTCATGACAAAAGATCAAAAGGCTGATATGGGAGGGGACCCTTGGGAAAGCAGGAGGCCCCTGATTCACCGCCGGGCACCCGGGCAGGGATCTGGCACGCGTGAGCTGTGCTGGAAAGCCTTGCCTACGTGGCCACCACGGTGTGATGGCCACGCTATGTTGGAGCAGGAGATTTGGCAGCCGAACTGTCGGCGTCTCCCTGCGGATGCGTTGGTGTGTTGCTGGGTCTCCCAGAGCACAGCGTGTGTGCTTAGTGAGCGAGGCTGTCAGGATTTTTGGAGACGGTGCGTGTCGGGGATGTGCCGACAGAGGAAATATGTGCAGACGTGTTGAGTCTCGTGCGCTTGGCGCGGGAATTATTCATCCTGCTACCTGCCCCCGCTGCCTCTCCGTGTTGGGGCTGCACCCTGGAGTGGGAGATGCCCCTGCTTGGTCCCTCGCTGGCACCGTGCCATCCTTCACCCCCTGCCCTCAGCCGCTCTCTCCTTGGCAGGTGGGGGTTTAGGGGTTGGCGTTTAGGTAAATGGAGATGTCTGGTCTCCTGGGATGCTGCTGGAATGGGTTTGGGGTGACTGCGGCTGATGGGGGATCAACCCCCACACGTCATCTCTGCGTATGTGCAACGTGCTTGCAGATGCAGAGCCAGCCCATGTGCCCCAGGGGAGTAATTTTTAGTTACACCCCTAATAGTTTTTAGTTACACCACCAAATGCGACATCAGATATCAGCCCTGTCTCTGGCTGCAAATGGCATGAGACGTCTTCCTTCTAAAAAAGTACAAACAAGGGCAGCGCTCAGGCTTTGGTTCCTTGGCTTAGGTATGTATCACCTTTGTTATCATCTAGATGTAGGGATCTGCGAGCCAAGCGTGTCTGAAAACGTGCCGCTGACTGTCCATGTTGTTTCTGTAGACTAAAAACCTCTGGCAAGAGGCTGCTTGGTTGAGCTCCTAAATAGGGCTTTACATCCAGGTCCCCGAATCTGAAACTGAAGCTTGTTTTTGCCTGTGCGCGCCGGTTCTGGGGGCTGTCACCTCCATCCAGAAGAGTGTAACGCTGTGTTTACCTCGGCTGATACTTAACACTGTTTTGTCCTTTGCTCCAATAGCCCCCGGTACCCAGCCAGACCTCCTCCTACTCTTGCATGCTGCCCACCAGTCCATCAGTGAATGGACGGAGCTATGATACATACACCCCTCCTCACATGCAGACACACATGAACAGCCAGCCGATGGGCACCTCTGGCACCACTTCCACAGGTGAGTGGCCCCTGCCCCCCGGCCTTTCTGCTGGCATGGCTTCCTTGCTCCAGCCATCAGGTTTTTCACATGTATTCCCTGGGAGAACTCTCTCCCCATTGCTGGGAGAGGTCTTTCTGTCAGGTTTAGTAGCTGCTGAAACGGGCAGAAGGTGAAAATGTATAACCTTGTGGGCTTGAGCAGAAAGTCTGATATTTAAGCTGCTGCTGGAGGGGTAGATTAAAGACAGCTGATTAACGGAGGTGGCGTTTGAACTGTGGTACAGTGGAAAGCTCTTTAGTGAGGCCCCCATCCTGCAAAATCCTCCCTGTGTAATTAATTTCTAAAGCAGCATTTATTTCACCGTTAAATTTCAGTGGAGATACTCACACCTGTGAAGTTAAGTGTACGTGAAAGTGTTTGCAGGACTGGGCACATTTTTACCATGTCTGTGTCAGAGGCTGTTTTTTGCTAAGTTCTGAAGTTATGGAAAAGGCAGGTAGCCTGTAGAAATATTAACCTATGCATAAGAAGGCAAAACAGGGTAAAAAAAGGGTGTCAGCATAAGCAGGCGCAAGACAGACACATTTTTAAAAGAATAGTAATGTTCAGTGTATTTTGGTCTGAATTCCCAACTGATACACATAAGCCGAGGCTCTGGCATTCATCTCAAAGCGTGACAGTTTATTTATAACAACAAATCAGTGAGATGTGCAGAGGTTTTAAAAATATACACCCCC